AAAACCCTTGATCATTTACATTTGACTCAATGATATGTATGCATGGGTATGAGAGTGATGCATGAGTTTATTATGTTAGAACTATGAGAGGAGAAAAATTTTGGGTATGACACATATAAAGAGAGTATACTCTACTCCTTTGAGATTAAACTTCTCTTCCTTTGCCATTATCAAAAAGCGAGGAAAGGAAGAAGAAGAAGAAGAAGAAGAAGAAGAAGAAACACAAAAATTGATCTTATAAAAGGGGTGTGTTACATGATAAAAAATGGGAAAATAAGTAGAGACAAACATAATTGAGTAGTACAAAAGACCAAACATCTCCCCTTGGTTGGAAGTGTCTAGTTTTGAGACTAGTTCATTGAATAAAAGTTTTGGTTTGCCTTCTTCATATTTGTTGATGTTGAACTTTGGATTTCTTTTTTCATTTCACATGCCTTGATTTTAAGAGTCTTTGTATCTTATAGTCAAGGGAAACGATACATAGTTTCCCTAGGATCTGGTGTCTTATATATATATATATATATATATATATATATATATATATATATATATATATATATATATATATATATATATATATATATATATATATATATATATATATATATATATGTGTGTGTGTGTGTGTGTGTGTGTTTAATTGGCAACCAATCAATAAAATATTATGTGTCTCAGATTCCAATGAGATCTCAAGGTAAAATTGATGTGTTATATTTTGATACATGTGTTCCCTTTGGCACAGTGTCATTGGGATGGAAATGGGGTACATATTTTTGTTTTCTTTGAGGAGGATTTAATAGAGTTATGTCAGTCTACCTGATTAAAACTAAAGATGAAGTTCTCCAAGTTCTCAAGAAGTTTAAGGTGATGAAAGACAAAAAGACAACTCAAGACTCTCATAAGTGATGGAGGTGGTGACTATAACTCAATAAATTTGAATCCTTATGTGAAGATATGAGAATTCAACATGAGATCATAACACCATAGACCTTTCAACATAGTGGTATTGTTGAAAGGAGGAACTTAACTACCAGGAACATAATTAGATGCATGTTTAAAGAAAAGCATATTCCACATTATTTTTGAGGTAAAGCCTTCACAACTACATGTGATGTTCTTAATAGGAGTCCAACCAAGAGACTAGACATGGTTCTATAAGCAATCTGGTTAGGTCACACACCATCTCTCAAGCACTTAAGGATCTTTGTATATTTATGTTTCAAACTCATTCAAGACTAAAGAAGGAATAAAGTTGACTATAAGAATGAATCAATTGTTTTTGTAGGTCACCTCATTGAAGGTTCATACAAGTTATACAATCCTCTCACTAAGAAGATTGTTGCAATCAAAGGTTTTACAATTAACGTAAAAGAGTGTTGGAATTGGCAAAATCAATATATTGTATCATCTTTAAGTGTGTCATTTGTTTTGCATGACGACTAAAGTGAACCTAATATACATGGTTGAGGTGTTGCACAAGTAGAGAAAACAAGAAAAATCTTAAAGGATTAAATTATCAACTAGGGATCTCTTAGAATATGATGTGATTCATGGTTGAATGATCGTCCGTGAAGAAGACCTAGTGCATTTATCCATATTTGTTTATGTTGAGCCTCTCACATATGTAAAAATAACTACATGTTCAGTTTGAATTACTTCTATGGATGAATAAATTAAGGTTATATAGAGGAATCAAATATGAATTTAGTCTCTTAACCCTCGCATAAGAGACCCATTGCATTAATTGGTCTACAAAGTGAAAGACCCCCTAAATGATTTCATTGACAAACATAAAGCAATGTTTGTCGCAAAGAGATTCTTATAAAAGTTATTTATTGTATACTTGCTGAGTCAGCAAGGTTGTTAGAGTTAGTTTAGTCTCTAACTGAATTAGTTAGATTAGTTGAAGTTGGTTTTCTGATTAGTGCTTGTATAAATAATTCTAACACATGAATGGAAAGTAAGATGGCTACTGTACATAACTGGTACCTTCATCAACTCGATGTAAACAATGCCTTTTTGCATGGGAATCTAGAAGAGGAGGTGTATATGTCATTACCTCAGGGTTATCAGGCTGCACAACCTACACAGGTTTGCAAGTTACTAAAAAGTCTATATGGACTTAAGCAAGCTAGCAGACAATGGAATGCTATGCTTACTTCTTCCTTAGTTGCTCTTGGTTATGTGCAATCTAGGTCTGATTACTCTCTGTTTGTCAAGAAAACTTCTATTCATATTACCGTTTTATTGGTTTATGTTGATGATATCGTTCTAGCTGGCTCTGACCTGACAGAAATTATTCATGTCAAGGCTCAATTGGATGCTCAGTTCAAGATCAAAGATCTAGGCAATCTGAAATTTTTTCTTGGGTTAGAAGTGGCTAGATCTCATACAGGTTTGGTCTTGTCACAGAGGAAGTATGCTCTTGAATTACTTGATGATTCAGGCTTGCTTGCCTGCCAGCCAGTTACAACACCAATGAATCCTAGCATTAAGCTCCAAGCCGTCACAGATCACCCCTATGAGGATGTTAAGTCTTATAGGAGATTGATAGGAAGATTGATTTATCTCACTAATACTAGGCCTGACATCTGTTATGCAGTGAACATTTTGAGTCAATATTTGTCTAAGCCTATGCTTGAGCATCATACAGCTGCACTAAGGGTTCTCAAGTACATCAAAGGAGCTCCAAGTCAGGGATTGTTCTTCTCAGCTCAGAAGAACACTACTTTGAGTGCTTTTAGTGATTCTGATTGGGCTTTATGCCCTGATACAAGAAGGTTTGTCACAGGTTTCAATGTGTTTTATGGCTCTTCTTTGATCAGTTGGAAATCCAAGAAGCAGTCTACTATATCCAGATCTTCCTCAGAGGCTGAATACAGGGCTTTAGCTACAACCACATGTGAGGTTCAGTGGATTTTGTATCTCCTTCAAGATCTTCAACAGCCAGCTCTGCAGCCAGTTATTATCTATTGTGATAGCTTGTCTGCTATACATATAGCACAGAATCCTACTTTTCACGAGCGCACTAAGCACATAGAGATTGATTGCCATCTCGTTCGTGATAAAGTTGCTTTAGGAGTCATCAAATTGCTGCCTGTTCCAACTACTGCACAACTTGCTGACATCCACACAAAACCTCTACACCCTCAACTGTTTCAACATTTGGTGTCCAAGCTTAGCTGAGACACGGAATGATTAATCCAAGAAAGCACCAAATTGTTGCATAGCTTCCACGCTGGAAGAATCGGATCTGTATCAGTGGGACGAGGGATATAACCATCTGCAAACCCAAATTTGTTCTTCATTTGCAGAGACATTTCCATTGCTCTCGCCCAAGCATGGTAATTGTGTCCTTCAAGAATTGGAGACACCAAAACTAGAGACGGGTTTTCATTCGGGTGAATGTAATAATCGTGTGTGACATCTTGCAAATTCGCAAGAGTTACAGGAGCACGAGCCACCATTGAAGAGAAAAACAGAGATGAAGAATCGTGCAGGAATCACAATCGCAAAAAAAAGGAGCAGAATCGCACAATCGCAGAATTGCAATCGCAGAAACTCAAGAAACCCAGAAATTGAACTCTGGAAGAAGAAACGTTTCACAAATTCACTGAACAATCAAAGAAATTGTACAGAAAAATCAATGAAAACGAAGAGAAATCATCAAGAAAAAACGATGAATCTGATGATAATGCATCGTGAGAACGATGAAAGGGAAAAGATGCGGAAAAGTTTCAAGAAATTTCAGAGAAAAATCTGATACCATGTTAACAGATGAAATATAATGAAATCCATCTTACTTTCCATTCATGTGTTAGAATTATTTATACAAGCACTAATCAGAAAACCAACTTCAACTAATCTAACTAATTCAGTTAGAGACTAAACTAACTCTAACAACCTTGCTGACTCAGCAAGTATACAATAAATAATACATGAATAATCAATCTCTATTAAAAGTCGGTGTTGAATTCATATTTTTTTTGCATCACTTGCAATAATTAAAAGAGTCACTTGCGAGAATAAGAAGAGTCATATTAGTGATAATTGTGACTAACTTCTTATAATGGAATATTATTCAACTAGAAATTAAGTCTCCATGTCTTAATGGTTGTCTTGGGGAAAAGCATATTGTTGAACAACCTTAGAAATTCATTGTGAAAGGTGAATAAAATAAGGTCTTGAAGTTTAATAAGGATCTATTTAGCCTGAAACAAGCTTTTGGAATTAGTTACAAAAGGATTAATGAGTTCTTAAACAATATTGGTTATTTCAAGTGCACAATTGGATAAGGGATCTTTGTGAAAGACGGGAATCGGGACAATCTTAAATAATGTGTCTATATGTAAACGATATACTCAAGAAGCAATACAATGAGATTAAGAATCTCAAATCCAATATAAGCAGTAAATTTGATAATGACTAACTTAAGATACCTAAGTTACATTCTTGGTCTTGAATTTGTTGCAACTATATGGACTTAGTAATTCATTAGAGGGAGTAGATCATTGATATCCTAAAGATATTTAATATGCTAAAATCCAATTTAAAAATATTTTTATAAAAGTGAATTCATAATTAGACAAAATTGAAGATGACACGGTTGTTGACCACACTATACAAATAAATTGTGGAACGTTTGAGGTATGTTTGCAATTCCATTCTCGATAAATGTTAGAACCAAAATTAATGCTAGAAAAATTGTAACATGTGCAAACATTACAAGAGAAACATGAGAAATTAATTTTATACTTCATATATATAGCTCTAACAAGAACTACAAGCGCGATAATTAGCAGAAAGAAGGCTATATTGTTTCAAATTTCTAGAATTTACACTGTTATTAGGAAATATAATTTGAATTCAATGATACGATACAATGGATAATTTTTCAAAAACTATTGATTACGCTCTACTAGTATACAATAAAAATAAATGAATCAAAACTGCACATGATTTGATAACAAGCAGGTTGAAATTAGAGCAGAATTGAATCCATGACTCAGACAGAAGGTACAATGCATTCAAAGCAGTTTAGTCCATCAAACTCCGGTGCATATCTTGTTCTCAAACGGGTCGGGTTTTTATTGTCTCCGCCGGGCATTAATGTTTTCGGATCTTTGACGGTGGTTTTGGATGAAGAAGTTGCTTCTTCATTGGACTTTGGATTTGAATCCTTTACCGGGCCCGAACCAAAGGAGAAGCTCCATTTCTTGCCTTGCGAGATATCGAAGGGGCTGAACATAGACATAAACATGTTTCTTGTGTCGTGATAATTTGAAAATTTTGATGATGAAGGATTTGGTTATTCTCTTTGTTGCTCGGAGCAGCTATTGTTAGCTAATTTATATTGAATTGGAGAAGGGTGAGTGAGGAAAGTGGAAGACTGATTTGGAGTCTTGATGAAATTTCTAAGAGGTGTTCTTGTTTTGACTCTCCGAGTTACTTACATCGACGCGGGGTTCAACCACTTGCGCGTTCCACCCTTTTTCGGACTGGGAAAAAGTCAAATTTGATTCAATTGAGTATTCAATAACTCTTTTTTTTTTCTGACAGAATTTAACAATAAATAATATAAAATTGATCCAATTGAAAGTTTAAAATTTTTTAGTTAAAAATTAAAAAAAAATGTAAATACAATAATTAAAAAGAAAAAATATTTTGAAAAAAATAACTGCCTTAAAATTAAATATTATATATCTTAATTTTAATAATATATAAAAAAATTTATTTGATATCAATATTTAATCGAATTAAATTTCGCTAACTTTGAAACACCAAAATCAGTGTAATTTTGTGTCTTTCTCTCACTATATTCAATATCGTAAAAATCACTTAATATTTTTTCCATCTAACCACCACTTTATCAGATCACACAAAATAATTCAAATTTTTATATCAGGTTAGTAACACTAAAAAACAAAAACACAACTATTTTCTATGTGTTTCTTTACCATTTTTTTATTTTTAATTTTTTTATAACACAAAAAATATTTAATAATTTACTACATCGAATAACATCAATATATAGTTTTAAAAACACTATCCACCCAAAAATCTTCAAATTTTTTATTATTAATTTGATTTTTATTATTTTTTACATTTAATACTCAAGTATATCCCATCAATCATCTACTATACCATATTTATTACCAAGAAAACATATTTAAATTGTAAATCATTCACTTATGACATTTATTTAATTTATATTGATTTAATTTTTTTCATACTTCAATGACCCTTATCATATTAGATATGGAAATTGAATGTTGCTATGTTTACATTTATAATGTGCAATGTTATATGAATATGCAGACAAAACAATGTTTTATTGTCCCTTAACAACGTTTTAATATGCTTTAAAGTGTATAAAGAAATTAGGGGTGGTTGAAACATATCAAATTATCAAAAGACCATCTTTAGTTAACATATTGCCTTCAAACCGTATTAAGCACTATCAAAACAAGCGTTGAGTGGTAAAGTATAAATTTGGCAAATTTTTCGCCCCTACAATATATTGATTGGTTATCTCAAACTCCTAATTTGTGAAAATTTCGACATCACCGTCTTATTTTAAAATGTGTCCTCTGCACCTCTAATCTCAAAGAATGCTTTAGCTTTCCAACCTGTCTCCCTCAACATCGTTTCTTCTCCCAATTTTAATCATTTCAATGAATTTGTTTCAATTGAGAGAACTTTAAAGGTGGGAGAAATAGAAGAAATGGGGGTTTGAGTTGAATTTCTAACAATAAATCTTTTCGAAACCAAACACTTGAAGTTAACATAAGAACAAAAATAAACGAACACAATTATTTTTATCTTCGTCCACTGTTAACTAAGTTATTCCAGTCCACCTAACAAGATGATTTGTCTTTCTCAATAAAAACTTAATCCACTATAATCAAACTGATTGCAAACACAAACAAAGACTAATTGTCAATATTTACAACCACAAAGACTACTCGTCAATGTCTTTTTGAAAATTTTTACTAAAGCCTTAGTCTCTCAAGGAACAATCAATCCAAGGTTGAAATACAAGTTTGTGTGTTTACAAGATGCTTCTAAAAAAGCAGATTTACACAAATTAAAATACATAGAAATAACACAACAGTGTTAAAAGCAAGTTAGCGAACAACAGTTCTTTGCTAGCAAGTTAACGAACAAAAGTTCTTTTCTATACAAAATTTTACAAAATTTTACAGAAAATTTACAATGAAATTTCAGCAGCGCTTTTGCAGAATGATTCAGCACAAAAAGTTGTTTTCTAATTCTTTCAATTCTTCCTTTTATAGCCAAAAATAAATTCATTAGAGGGTAGAATAGGATTACCAGAATCCAATTATCTTCTTGCATAACGGCCAGTGTGAGTGGTAGACAACATCGTATCAATAGTACAGTTCTTTTGCCACAAAATCAGAGTTGTGGAAGGAGGTGATCTTGTATTATTTCTCACGTAAATTTTTTTGATCTTATCTTCTAATCTTCAGAGGCTTCATAGTATATATGAGTTAAAGCATGTTTAGAAGGATCAAAACTAGTCTTCAGAATCTTTGTCTTCAGAGTCTTCAGAACTTGTTCATTAGAACCTTGTTTTTAGAGACTTCAACACATTGGTCTTCAGAGTCGTTGGTCTTTAGAGTCTTCGGAGTTTATTCAACAGAACCTTGTCTTCTAAATCTTTAGAATTTTAGAGCAAAAGAGCCTAGAATCTTCAGAGCTTGAGAAGCCTTCAGAAACTCTACCATCAGAATCGCAAATAGAAGCTTTAAAACTTAACGTTCCTCAGACACTACTAAAAAAATTGAATTTAGAAAGGATATAATTTTGTCACTAATTCACTAAAATTCCTTCACAAAAACATTTAACGACGTATAAGTATCCATACTGAATTTCAATGTCGCAAATAATTTATAAGAAATTTTAAATTCCGTCATAAACAATTACGGAACTAATTCGTCCCTAAATTGAAATTTTCGTCACAAACCATTGAAAATAAATCCACAAGTAATTTGTGATGGATTTTAAAGTCCCTCACTAAATATACTTTAGTAACATACCATCACTAATTATTGAAGATTATTGTATGAACACTTATTTTATGAGAGATATTTTCCGTCACTGAATTAAATGAATTATTTAGTGACATTTACATTCCATCACTAATCAATGAAAGCCTGCATGAAATTAATGAAATTGTTAATTTCCTGCCAAATTTATTAATAAGAAACACAAGAAAATGTTTTTGTGAATATTATAAATATTCTCCAAATCAAAACTAATAGTAATAAAAATATGTTCTTAAAACTAAATATTAAAAATCATAGTATTTTTTTTTTGCTGACACTAAATATCACAACTAAAATAGTTTTTAAAAAAAGCTCTTAAATTTAAGAAAAATTACAACGAAAATAATACCATCATTGTTATTGAAACTAAGTGATGACAAACAAAAGTGTGTGAAGACGGATTTTGATCCGAACATGGAGGTTGATGACCTGCTGAAAAACTTTTCATAAATCGGAATAATTGTTCTCTAAGAAAACATGAGTTTTCTTGCGATGCATGAATCAAATTCTCATGAGTCTTAAGTTACTTTTTAAAGATGTTATTTTCAGCAGACAAAACAGAAATAATAATCCTCATTTATTCATATTCAGATGGTGAGATACCATTAAATATGGAAGATCTAGATGACTTGTATTTTGTTGCTTCTGTTCCCAAACCATAAATATGACCCTTCTTGTCCACTCCTCCAACAACATCTAAGAAGATGATGTTATCAGATTGATGACTAGAAATCATCTTCAGGTGCCTCTTGTGAGTCCCTCTCAACAATCCTTTTTTCATACTCATTATGTAAAGAACAATTAAATAGATAGGGAGAATATAATCAGTCAAAACACAAAATAACATAATATTAATAGTTCACAATAACTCGCATAATCCTGAATTTGCACTAGTATAATCAAGTTGATGCTTATATGATATATCACAGTAGAATGATCTTAAAGATGCAAATGGGAAAATCAATGGTTAATATATTTCAATCAGTAAGTTAGTTTTATATTTATTTTAACATTATATTTTAGATTTCATATATTACTTCTCTAGCTATTAGTAAAAGCTATATATTACTTCTCTAACTAATAGTAAAAGCCATATATTACTTCTTTAACTATTATGTTTTAACACTATGCAATTGGGGACAGATTCTTGAGAAATTTGGAAAACATATATTAACTATTAGTAAAAGCCATATATTACATTTACTGTGCTAAATAAGTTGCAAGTTGCATGGTGTCAAAAGAGACCAAATTAGCATATTAAGTTGTTTGTAATTTAATGTGAGAACACTGCAATTGAAATATCGTCCATTAAATGGTTGTAGCTATAAAGTCACCTTATTGATCCATCAACATTCTATACTTTGAACAGAATGGCTGTAGCTTCACATATAAATATGTGTGCTAGAGTTCAATTGTTTAACTAAATTTTTGGTTTGTGTTCACTATACCTAATAATGAAGTGTTTACTTATCCAATGAAAATTCAAAAATATTCTTCTGTATTATTTGGATATTGAAATATTCTTTAGTATGTAGAAGTATTATAACAAGATTAATACAAGCATAAATTGATTCATTAAAACATCATTAGTACAACAACAACATCTAGTGATTTTGAAGAAACCCACTTGTTTGGTTTACCCTTCACTCTGTGTCTTTTGAAATAAGTCACAACAAGTTGGATACGTATCCGAGGATTGTTTCTATTGTGAGTGTTAATTTCTAACTTTCTTTCCACTTATCATCATTCCATTTTTCTTCTAATATCTTGAGTGTTTCAACATGAATCCAATCACATGAATCCAATCTTCTTTCTCACCCTATACATTGTGTTTGAGTAGGTATCAGAGTCTTTATGATCAAATATTTTCTTAATTTCTTCTTCATGTTCAGGTAGCCACTCGTACTTTCTCTATAATATAGACAATATAAGTCAATTCTAAGATATTCGGTATAGGATATTAATTGAATACCGTTATGCAAAATGATTATGTATTCAACAACTAAGTTCCAACAAATTATCCCTTCGGGTAATTCTACAAATTATACCTCAAATCAGTTAAAGTAACTATGACACAAGTTAAAGTTCCTACAAATTATTTAGTGACTATGATTTCCAACCACAATATATTAAGATTTCCAACCAAAATATATTAAGAACTATGTTTAACTCATCCTTATCCTTTCATACCTTAAACTCTCCAAGCCACAATTCGTTCACAGTTTTAAATTCTTTTTTTGCCCTTCATCTCTCCATAGTTTGTCCAAGACACTACAAACTTACGTTTGATAATTTTTACAATCTCACGTGTAGGCTGAATTGCAAAGTCAAATCTACAAAAAAATTTAAAGAAATTATAAGATAGAGTCATGATTTATTTATACGTTAAAGGAAGTTATTAAAACTTACGTTTTTTGTGGACCTGGACGAATCCAAACCCTTCCATCAGTGGGGTCCTTACTTCCAATTTGTGGAGGTGAATCTGAAGTAGAAATAACTTTAGTAATAATTGTTGGTGATTTTAGTATCACCTATGTATTTTAGTAGTAATGTGATTTACTAAAGACCGATGCAATTATGCGTTAAGCTTGGAAACGAGTTAGGGAAGTGCGGAGTGCATGCTCGTCGAGCCAATGTATAATTGAATATGAATAATTGAAACGGGGTTCCAAGGGGCAAAGCCCCTGGCGGGGTACGGGGGAGCGCCCCGTTCGAAAATTTTGAATCCTTTTCCCCAACCGACATAACCGTTTTTCCAAACAGGTGTGTCTTTTCGGTTTCAGTTATTGATCTCCTATATAAGGAGTCATTTGGTCTCGGTTTCAAATACGAAAAACGACACTTTCTCTCTACATTTGTAATCAGTTTCTTTTGCCAGAAACAGATTGTTCTTCGAGAACTATCCCCACAAAGATTTCGTGAACCCAGGCAAGAATAGGGTCGAAATACTTTATTCGGAAAGTGTACGAACACGATTCTTCGAAGTTATCCAGGATTATCATACCCAAAGTTCTAACAATAATAAGAAGAAGTTATCACACTTAATATTACTAAAGTTATTACTATTTCTTCATTTGGTATCAGAGCTCCATCACAGGGCCTGATATAGTGTGTAAACAAGAGTGTTTGAGAGGAAAAACACTAGAGTGACTGAAAGACGTGAAATGGCTGAATCGAGCAATTTCAATGCACCAAGTGTGCCTAAGTTTGATGGAGACTGTGATCATTGGAGTTTGATCATGGAGAATTTACTTCGATCCTAGGAATACTGGAGTATTATTGATTCTGGAATAAAGAAATCAAAGGAGAATGAAGAGATAACTGTAGCACAACAAAAGGCATTGGATGAAGAAAAACTCAAAGATCTGAAAGCAAAGAACTATTTATTTCAGGCCATTGACAAATTCATCTTAAAGAAACAGCTAAACAACTGTGGGAATCCATGAAAGTCAAGTACAAAGGAAACACTAGAGTAAAACGTGCGCAACTGCAAAGGCTTCGACAGACATTCGAAACCTTAGAGATGAAGACAGGTGAATTAGTGAATGATTATTTTGGAAGAGTGATGGAAATAGCAAATGACATGAGTAATTGCTGAAAGAATATGAACGATGTGAAAATAGTTGAGAAGATACTTAGATCTTTGACAGAAAACTTCAACTTTGTGGTATGCTCAATTGAAGAGTCTAATGACATTGATCTCCTAACTGTGGATGAGCTGCAAAGTTCACTACTTGTTCATGAACAAAAGGTAAGAGAGAAACGGAGTGAAGAACAAGTTCTGCAAGTTGAGTATGGCACGAGTTATGGACGTGGGAGAGGAAGAAGCAATTTTCAAAGAGGAGGTAGCAGCTATGTTAGGGGACGGGGGAGAGCAAAACCATTTGTAAACAGGAGTGTTATTATATGCTATCGATGTCAAAAACAAGGACACTACCAATATGAATGTCCAAGTTTAGAAAAAGAAGCAAACTATGCTGAGTTTGACGAGGACGAGGAGTTACTCCTAATGGCTCATGCCGAAGTTCAAGATATTAAAGACAAAGGGGTATGGTTTCTTGATTCTGGTTGCTCAAATCACATGACAGGAAATAAAAAAGTGGTTTTGTTTGTAGAACTAGATGAAAATTTTAGTTGTACTGTTAGATTGGGAAACAATTCAAGAATGTCTGTGATGGAAAAAGGAAGTGTCAGGTTTGAAGTGGATGGAATCATTCTAACTGTGAGTGATGTTTACTTTGTACCTAACTTAACCAACAATTTGTTAAGTATAGGACAACTTCAAGAAAGACGCCTGGTAATAATTATAAAAGAAAGTGCATGCAAAATTTATCATCCTCAAACAAGAAAAATTGTAGACAGCAACATGACTCTGAATCGGATGTTTGTAATTCATGCTACATTAAAACCGCTTCCACGAAAATGCTTAATGGTTGAGGAGGAGAACTTGGAGAATCTGTGGCATAAGGTACGGGCATGTAAATCATAATTTTATTGTTGTTGTGCAAAAGAAGCAAATGGTAAAGGGTCTACCAAAGTTCAAGGAAACTGCAGAGATTTGTGAAGTGTGTAATATTGGAAAGCAACACCGAGACAAAATACCAAAGAAAAGTAATTGGAGAGCATCAGAAAAACTTGAATTCTGGTGCATGCAGATCTGTGTGGCCCAATCACTCCAATCTCTCATAGTGGTAAAAGATATTTGCTTGTGTTTGTAGATGACTACTCTCGCAAAACTTGGATTTATTTTCTTGTGGAAAAAGGTGAAACATTTGAGACATTCAAATGCTTTAAGAATCTGGTTGAGAAAGAAGCTCAGAAACATATATGTTGTTCACGAACAGACAGTGGAGGAGAATTCACCTCAAACAAGTTCAATCAGTTATGCCAAGAGAATGGAATTAAACGGCAATTAACAGTCGCTTTCACACCACAACAAAATGGGGTAGCCGAACGAAGAAATCGAACAATTATGAATATGGTGCGCTGCTTACTTACGGAGAAAGAGATGCCAAAGACCTTATGGACAGAAGCTGTAAAGTGGATAAATCATGTGATTAACAAAAGCCTTACCAAAGCAGTAAAGGAAATGGTACCAGAAGAAAGATGGAGTGGACTGAAACCTAGAGTTGACTATTTTAGGGTGTTCGGATCCATTGCACATGTGCATATACATGGGCAGAAGAGAACTAAACTTGACGACAGAAGTCATAAATGTGTCCTAATTGGTGTGAGTGACGAATAAATGGCTTACCGATTGTATGATCCAAGATTAAAGAAAATAACAGTAAGCAGGGATGTCATATTTGAAGGAGAAAGATGGAATTGGAACCTAAATTCAGAAGAAGAAAAAGAAATTACTCTTGATTGAGGTAACGATGGTAGTGACATGGAGGATTCTGATGAAGAATCAAAAATAGAAACAGAGGTGAGTAATGCCAGAAACCAGGTGAGTAATATCGAAAACCATGAGCATACATTACAAAATGTGGGACAACAACATGAAGAGCAACAACATAACAACCAATAAGAGAGAAAAGCGCACCTAGTAGGCTGCAAGATTACGAAAGTGGTGAGGGTCTCTCTGAAGAAGAGCAAGAGGTCGGAATGGTTTTATTCATGTCAAATGATGATCCCACAAATTATAAAGAAGCTATGAATGATGTAAAATGGATAGAAGCCATGAAACATGAAATAGATGTCATCGAGAAGAATAAAACGTGGGAGTTAGTGAATCTACCAACACAAGCTAAGAAAATTGAAGTGAAATGGATTTACAAAACCAAATTAAATGAAGAAGGCAAGGTTGATAAGTACAAAGCAAGACTCGTTGCAAAAGGGTATACACAGACAGAAGGGGTGGACTATAATGAAGTATATGCTCTTGTTGCACGATGGGATACAATTCGAATTTTATTGGTTGTGGCAGCACAAAAAGGATGGAATGTGTACCAACTGGATGTGAAAAGTGCCTTCTTATATGGAGAATTGAAAGAGGTATATGTGGATCAACCTGAGGGCTTCATTAAACACGGAGAGGAAGAAAAGGTATATAGGCTGAACAAAGCCTTATATGACCTAAAGCAAGCGCCAAGAACATGGTTTAGCATAATCGATAGTTACTTCCAGAAGGAAGGATTTACAAAGAGTAAACATGATCATACTTTATTCTTTAAGAGAAGAGAGGACAAAGTAATCATGGTAAGTATTTATGTTGATGACTTGATATATACTGGGAATAATGAAGAACTGTGTGCAATATTTAAGCAGTCCATGATGAAAGAGTTTGAAATGACGGACCTTGGTAAAATGAGATTCTTCCTTGGAGTTTAAGTCAAAATGAAAATGGAATTTACTTATGCCAAAAGAAATATGCAAAAGAAGTTTTGGAAAGATTCAATATGTGGAATTGTAACTCTGTCAAAAATCCAATAGTTCCTGGAACTGTGTTGTCAAAAGAAGGTGGAAAACATGTTGATTCAACTTTGTATAAGCAATTGATAGGTAGTCTAATGTATCTTACAACTACACGCCCAAATATGATGTACGTAGTGTGTTTAATTTCACGTTACATGGCCAATCCAAAGGAGGAACACATGTTGATTGCTAAAAGAGCATTGAGGTACTTAAGAGGTACTTTGGAATTTAGCTTATTTTATAGAAGAAGGACTACCTCGAAGCTTTTGGCATATACTGACAGTGATTATGCAAGAGATGTTGATGATAGAAAGAGTATTTCAGGGTATGTGTTTCTCTATTAAGTGAGGCAGCGGTTTGTTGGAGCTCGAAGAAGCAAGCCATTGTTACCTTATCCTCTACTGAAGCTGAATATATTGCGGCAACCTCATGTGCTTGTCGTTGTGTTTGGATGATAAGGGTTCTTGAACAAATTAGAGATGAAAATTGTGAATGTATTGATATTCTTTGTGACAACAGTTCATCAATCAAGCTCTCTAAGAATCCAGTGATGCATCGGAGGACTAAACACATTGACGTCAGATATCATTATTTACGCGATCTTTCAAATCAGGGAGTGGTAAAGTTGGTTTTCTGTAGAACAAAAGAACAAATTGCAGACATTATGACAAAGCCATTGAAATTGGACCAGTTTGTGAAACTTAGGAGGCTACTCGGAATACAACCACTTGAAAATTAAACTGTATGCTCAATGAGCATTTCAGTTTAAGGGGAGGAATTTGTTGGCATATTTACTAAGAATTAGTCTTTACTATAAATAGAAATGATAAATTAGCTAAGTTTAATACTAAGGGATAAGTTGAATAAGTTTCATTGGTTATTAGAGTTTTATTCCTTATTATTAAACTTAGCTAATTTATCATTTCTATTTATAGTAAAGACTAATTCTTAATAAATATGTCAACATGGGACGATGATACATGTGGGTCATCACTGAATGCATCAGTAGATGGGACATGTGACGAGCTAGGCATAGAAGAAATAGGTGGACTAACTGAGAAGGAAATATGAGGGCTAGGAGTGGAACGTTGAAATTGAGAATGTGTGGCTCTATGAGATATGGAAGAGTTTGTAGGATGGACATTAATAGATGTGACAAAATAGTGGTACCCTTACCTCTTTCAGATGAAACATGAGGGCTAGGGGTGGAGTGTTAAAACTAGATCAAATTACCTTAACCAAGGTAGATCACACAATAGATGAACTTAGCAAAGAGTCCTTCTAAACCTGCAGCAAGAAGAAACATTAGCATGTTAGCATGTACAAGTAAAACACAACATCCTCATAACTAACTTATATATTACAATCTCAATGTCATGATTTATTTCGATCAAAGAAAGAGATCAGATTGATGAATTTGCAGGTATGAATGAGTGTGATTTGAATTCTTAAATTATTGATAAAAGAATAAGTGTATGTTTGGTTTCCCTTCTAGAAGGGATAAAAGCACTTTTAGAGTGCAAAATTGATTCTGCAATGATTTCAACATGTTTGATTCTGATAAAGTAGAATTGATTCTGCTTCCAGAATTGATTCTACTTGAAGTTAGAATTTGTAGCTTCTACCTCCAAAATTGATTTTGTGTGATTTTTACACTGAAATTTATTGTTCAGCTCACTTTTACATAAATGTATCCAAACATAAATCAATTTTGCTCAACTCAATTATGTTAAAATCAATTCTATCAAACTCAATTTTACTAAAATAAATTTTTTCCACCGTCAATCCAAACACATGCTAAGAGATACACATGGAAGAGAGAGAGAAGTTACAGTATCTCCATCTAGTTTTATTAGATCATCAAATCATTTTACAAGCACATTTAATTTTTAACATGTCATTTAATCAAAAACATCTCACTTGATCTAAAGGTTTATGGAGGCACAATAATATATGCCACCAAACAAAGCAACAGGTTAATAATAATAAAGCTGGATATATGAGTGAAGAGCAGTGTTGTCCATGGCGGATGGCGGTCCATGGCGGAGAGCCAAAATCCCGCCATAGCGGCCGCATTGTGGCAACAAAATGAAATTATATCCATTCTAAGACCATATAACAACGAACAATTCTATAACTTGTCCAAACAAAACAAGCATAAATGTCACATGACAGTTTCAACAGTACACTTAGCAATTAGAACGCCAAAAGGTTAATGTGTTTTTCTTTAAAAGTAAAAAAGAACTAATATTTTAATTGAAATATCCTACCATAAGTTATGCTGCAGCATGAAAGCAAATTATCAGTAACATAAAAAAGTCATATGAAAAGTTATGCTGCAGCATAAAAGCAAATTATCATTTACACCACCAAGTTAAAAGACAACCCTGCCTCTACCCAAACATAAAATTTAAAACCCAACTTAACCATAAGACAACCAAAGTTAAAAAATTTGCATTACCCTTACTCAAACATAACATTTAACACTCACTTTAACCAAAACCCAACCAAAGTTAAAAACAATGCATCGATTGGATTGCACATGAATGCATGCATAAAAGATCAATGTGGCACTAAACATATCTAAAGCTAAAACTTAAATACAATTACATTACAAAGTAAAAAATCATTGACCGAAAAATTCGTGTCAAACATGAAACAATTAAAATGATAGAGATGGTCAACTATTTACCTTGAGATTTTTAATTGTTTTAGTCAGCTGCCCCTGTAGCAGTAACTATAGTATTGACATGCAAATTTATAATTCAATTATCCATAAAACTGATAAACAGAGTCACAAAACTGAAACTACCGCTTCGGGTTAACCTCAAGTCTCAGAATTGAAACTTAAAAACAAGCAGAAAGTGACTAAGTGCCCGTATCATAATATGGAATATAATTAAACTTAATGAAATAACTCCATTTACAGTATATACTCTTATCAAACACGCCAATTAGTGCTTTTAGTTTTATCATAACGCAAACAAGAGATGGGTTTCATTCCGATACGAACAAAGAAAAAAAGATTATACAGATTCACATGAAAATATGCAATCAAGCACTATAAACAGGAAAGACATGGATCAAGAGTAATACAACACCAAAACCTATCAAATAAAGAAAGACAAAACAAATATTACAGAATTAATTTAAGGCACAAAATAAACCCTAGATTTCATCTAGTAATCAAGGAACAAAATTTAAAATCAAGTCAAAAGACCATATGTTCTACCAAATTCAGCACACACGATGAATTTCTTCCGCGTTTACGGCTTACAAAAGAGAGAAAACAGATGAGATACCTTGAGAAGGTGAATCTTTGGAGTTTTAGGGTTTTTTCGTTTATTATTTCTTTGCCCTAACAAATCCTGGTTCTTGATTGCTTGATTGAGAACCCGTGAATGAAAATTTTCTTCTTGCGATATCTCAATTAGGGCTTCTGCGGTTTTTGATTCGGGATTGTGTGTAATCCTCCGTTCTACTTCTCTGGATCTGGCATTTTGCTTTTTCAGTTTCCCTCTAATTTCCTTCACTAAATTGTATTTTTTAGTAGTCCGAAGCATTGTTTTAGAAGCATTATTATCTTTGTAAATTCACTCGTATCATTTAATGTGTTAAGTCTAGACACTAATGATATCATGTGTTATATCTTCAGAATTAAAATTTGTTAGCAAAAGTTATACATTAGATAAGATTATTAGAGTATTAAATTATTATCTAATCAATATTTTGTTATCATCAAAACTAAAGTTTATATGTAGAACCAAATCATATTCTTACAATCTCTCATTTTTTATGATGACAAAATCATGTATTTATATAAACAATTTGTACTAGGTTTAATCACATTAAAGAATTCAGAGTTAACTAAACAGCTCTTCCTAAGTTTTATACTCTCATAACTTATTTAATCTTGTTCAGAGTCTCCTCCTGAGTTCAAGACTTAAAGAAATTTTGAGATATAAGATGAATCAATCAGCGTGAAGGAATACTTCCCTAATTGAATTAACATCAAGAGTCCAAATAGCGATGTAGAAATCTCCATCTCAGATTCTGGCTGGATATCAGAACATGGTGAGGCATCCGATCAGATTTTGGTGAAGTCTCAGAGCATGGTTCTGAAAAACCAAAACTAAATTATCAAGTAGCATAACTTGATTAATCTTGTACTTCATCATAGTCTGGTTGAATTTCCTTTGAGCAAAGGTGTGATAACCCATGACTTCTGATACTTTAGCTTCTGAATCTCCTTCAGAGCTTCTGTTAAGAAAATTTTAGTGAACTTTCTCAAAGTTCATGAGTCAAACAATGTTAGAGGAACTAAAATTATAAACATGTTTGGGAACAGATTCTGAGATAAGATACATCAAAATCATTTATTTTCTCCCCTTTGTCAGAAATCAAACAGATTTAGAGACAAAGTAAAAAATACATTAACCAAAGACCAAGAGACAAAAAATTTTAGAAGCAGAAGGAAAAACACTTAAGTTCTAAAACCAAAAGATAAAATAAATGGTCTAGGGGTTTGGTGGGGCAGGAGGAGGCATCATTGCTATGAAGTCCTTCAGCAAGTTTAAGAGGGAAGAATGTTCGTCAGTCCTCTAGTCTTGCTTATCCAGACATTATAGAATAACGACATTTGTCTTCTTCAACTCTTCCAAATTATCCATCAGCCCAGGTGGCATTTCTGCAGCAGCAGCAGTCGTCACAACCCTAGAAGGGATACCATCTTCAGCATAAGACTTCTCAAATTCAACCATCTCAGGAGCATCAGCTTTTGTAGGTTGTTCATCCATTGCAGAAGTGTGATCTTCTTCTAGAATGATTACTTTTGGAGCAGGCAAGCAGCGAGGAATATGAGGAGGTGCCTTAGCCTCAAGTATAGCCTTATGCTTCTTCCTTGCTTCTTGGTTACAGAAAACTTCAATGATGTTGCAGTTAACAGTCATCCATCTTCTGAAACTAGGCCAGATAGCATTGGTCTGATTTGGATCCGTGTTATTAAAAGTGCTTTCTACAGCATAGTGCAGTGTGTTTAGAGCACTATACTCAAACTGATATAAGAATTCATCAAGTAAGTTAGACAAACATTTTTTTCTATGAAGAAAAATAACTAGAAGGGGTGGAATAAGGTTTGGGGAATCTGTTTGGAAAGACAGTAATTTTAGGATGTCTGACAACATTGAAGGGGTTAAGGAAAGCTAATGAAGAGGAATTCTTAGATGACATAGAGTTAATAAGTTATGTGTCAGTATCAGAATCTTCAAATGCAGAAATAATTGTATCTGAAACATGATGAGATGGGTTGAGAAGGGTTTCTGAAGAAGTGTCTCCATAAATGTTTGGTTTGGTGAGAGATGGTTGGGGCTCAGAAGTAGTGGCTTTTGAGATATTTGGCTTTTGCTAGTTTAGCATATTTACTATTATAGGTGTGGAGACAGAAGAATGTGTAGAGGTTTTAAGGACTGAATGATTTGATGAACTCATAAAAGTAAATTTGAGTAGTGAATTATTAGAAACAGAAGTATCAACAACAATTTTGACTTCTTTCACTGACTCTAGAGATATCTTCTTAAAAGATAAAGTCTTTGAAATCTTTGCATGTCCAGAAGGACCACCACAAGAACGTTTGTTAGAGAGATTCTTCTTCTTATTATTGACAGAAGGAGAAGATACAGAAACAGTCACATGTTTAACCAAGAGAGGATGAATTTCAGAAAACCTTGCAAGGTTAAAGGCTTGAAAGTCTTTAACATGAATTCTTCTACATGAAATAGCCTTTTCATTCAAGGCGTTAGGAAGCTTGACCACTTCAGTGATTAGAGACATATCCAACAAATTTTCACCATTGAAGGATCTATCAACCATGACTATTGGCTCACATTGTAGATTCAAAGTGTAACGCCCGTTAATTTAATTAGTTATTTAATTAAATTATTTTTGGATTATTTGTTGAAGTTGTGAGATGTTGAGAATTGTTGGTATAAGTTGTTAAGATTATTATTAATAAAGGTTTTGCAAATTAAAGAAAGGGAGAAAAGAGTGTCCTATGTACACGAGGGTAACAGATAAGGTAAAGAGAATCTGACCGAATAAGAAACCAGTACTTGACATGACAAAGTCAATACCGTATTCTCATCCCTTTGGACTTGAAGCCACATACAGAAAAATAAGTTAAGAGTATACCAAACCTCAGGTGAAAATAAATCACAAGCCGACAACATCAAAAAACCAGATGTAAGATAATACTCCAAGCAGCGAATAAAGCGCATTGAATCATAACACGTGAAAATAAATCACGGCTGAAGAAAGCGTGGAAAAGCTCACAGTATAAGATTCCCTGCATCACATGAAATATACAGACAAAACTAACAGCACGGGAAAACTTATGTGCGTTCGTACGATTTTCAGAAGTTAATTTGAATTAAAATTTAAAATCGCAACGCGATGAAAATAATATTTACATAACTTGAATTTATTTACAAGTGAAGTGAATAAAATATACAGTCAAAATATTATGTACAAGTATATATTTACAGTACTAAATATTAAATCAAAATAGTGAAATACAATAAAGAGGTAAGGGAAGAAGTGTAGGAATTATGGATGCGCTATGTGAGAATGGATACTTGAAACGATTTTCGGAAACCTTCACAGTAAACAGACTCATTAGTAGCATAAGGGGTATAAAAATAAAATGAAGGAAATTGCAACAATGAAAATCTATGTTAGAAATCACAAAATAAAGAATTGAAATGAAATTGTATGAATGCACATGAATATTTATACAAATAAAAATCAAGAATTCATGATATTATTCAATGTAAACACAAAAATCAGCACTGCATACATGTATTCCATCAAGTAAACTCAAAGATTATCATGATTCTTAATTCACAAATGAAACGGAAAAGCAAAGAAATCATGCTATAATTCCATTCAATTCCGATACATGAAAAATCAAGGCTAAATTAAACAATATTCATACAGGCCAAAAGCTGGACAACAACATATTATGCATAAAAAAACTCATGAAAATCAATTTCCGAGTGATTCCAACCTTGTGTACAAACACCAATATCGAACAACCAACTTTGTAAATTGAATTCAACTTGAAACATCATCACAACCACTTTTAAAATGACTTAAACCACAAGACAACATCAATAACGATAATTCAAAATTAATCAACTCGTGTCAAAATCGAAACATGGATAAATGATTTTAAAACAAACTAAACTCAATCGTACCAAATCCGGACAGCATAACAGTAGCAAATTCTTCATCACGATTTTACAAGAGAAAACTAGAATTTTCATACAATCTTTATCATGAAACAAATCAATTATCAACACTAAATCAACAACAACTAAACCAGAACTGGCCAATCATATTTTCCAGCATCTGTTACAACCTATTAAACCAAATATCATATGATTTCACAGCATAACAGTTCAAAAATATCAAGCACAAATTCTAAACAAACTGTTTTCAGAAATTCATCCCAACATTTGTCAACAACATAATAGTTACTAAATCAAAACAAAATAACAAAACAGGCAGCAATCCAATAATTAATCAAAACATAACAACACAGTTTAAACATTCTAGTAGAATTGAAAAATTATCGAACAGTGTCGAAAACAAAAGTTTCTAGTCGAAGTTGTTGACGGTAGCGAAACAACGCTCGTGAATGCAAGCTGCTAATGTTTTTCGGTTTCACGGAGAGACGAAGATTTCACGAAATTTGAAGGTTATGTAATAGTTAAAGGAGGGCGGTCTGTTGTAGATGGTGATGTGGATGAACGACAGAGGTGGTACCGGCTGGAGCAGCGCTTGCAGAGAGGAAGACCAGTGAGGATGCAGTTTGCGGAAATTAGGCAAAAGGTTTGTTGGTTGTGAGCGAATAATGGTATGCATGAATAGAAGAGGAACATGGTGATGGGTTGTGTGTTTTAATAGTGGCGGATCGGAGATGATGAAGGGGAAACAAAAGGGTGTAACAGAGGCGGAAAATTGAAGGGGTGAATGGAGTGAAGGTAAATTTATGATGAAGGGCGGAATGGGTCTGTGGTGGTGAATTGAAGGGTTAACAGTGAAGGGGATGGTGATGTTGAAATTGAAGAGAGTTTGGCAAAGGAGGATGATTAGCAGACAGAGGGAATTGAATTGAGAGGGGAATTGCTGGAGGTTAGGTGGGAAGATTGAAATTGAGGGTTACTGCACGGAAAGATGAGGTTACGGTGGGTAATGGTGTGTACCAGTTTGAGATGAAGGGAATTTGTATGAAGGTGTGAAGGGTAGCTATTGTGCGCGGAGACAAGGTATGAAGAAATAGGCGGAAGGTTGAGAGAAATAAAGAGTGAAAGAGATTACTGATAGTGCTTTTGTATTGTTGTTATTTATTGTCTGATACAAAGGAAATTAAGGCTCTTTAAATAGAATAAATGATAAGAAAATTTGAATTCCTCTTGCTATCAGATTCGTTCATCCATTTTTTTTCTGTATCAATCCACCACTTTTGCTAACAACCAATGAGAGTCAAGCATAGTGTAATCAATATATTTTTATGACAGGAAATCCCCTTAAATGATAAAATAACTAAAAAACCTGAAAGTATTAAAATTAATTCAATTTAAAATAAAAATTTTTGAATTTTTTCTGAATAAAAATTAAAGATTTAAAACGACTGAAAATGATAAAAAAATAGACAAAAATTTATCCAAAAAAATAAAATGAACATATTAAAATAAACTACATGTCGCAAAGATTAAAGAAAAAATATTCAAAAAGTTAAAATCGAAATAAAATGATAATAAAAATATCAGGTTGAACAGATGTTTACGGTTAAAAACGAGACTTCAGACTGTATCGAAAAATAAAGCGAGTATATCGTCATAATCTACGCGAAACGCATATTCATAAAATGATCGATAAAAGGTGAAAACTTGAAATATTTTTCTCGCTAATTTTCCGCACAGTGTCGAATCTCTTTTAACAGTCTGTCTATAAAACCTAAATATTAATATTATCAACATATAAACAACTCGGAGCAATGCAAGAAAATACTAAAGAGATAAAAATGCATGAAGTGAAACGTCAGGTATTTTTCAACTACAGAATGACGGAAATGTCGATTTAAACTGATTTCTGATCAACTTAAACACGATTAAATGATGCAAATATGATGAATGAAGTTATCTATTAATGATTGTGACCAAATGACAAAATATGATATGAAAGTGCGATTAAAAAAATTAGGGGCGAAATTTAGGGTACAACACCTATCTCTTTCATGAATATTTTATTAACCATACTCAGATATGTTGTCCCGACATTCTTCAGGCCAAAAGATATGACATTGTATTGATAGTTGGCTCATTCAGTCATAAAGGATCTCTTGTGTTAGACGACGAAAGTGTATCTAGAGGGCCGGGGGGGAATAGATACCCCTTTAAAATATTTAGACAAAAATCTTGTTTTCTTTTTTATTAAAGAGCGACGCTGAAGATTTTTTAAAATGTCGTTTATACGAATGTTATTGGAGGCTCTGATATGCAAACCGTAACAAAAAAATTCAATAGAATAAGAACAACAAATTGAATTAACATACTTGAATCACTTAACAACTTATTTAGCGTTTATCACTAGTTACTGATAAAGCTATTTCCAATTGGAATATTAAAAAGAACTAGTTGAATCAATTTATCAAACACTTGGTATGCAAGTGAATTTTCAAAAGATTTCCTTTAGTTGTGTTGATACACAAAATCATTTATAATCAAAAGTGATTATAAGTTATATCAATACTTGATTTATAATCAAAAAACAATTCAAAAAACTATTACAATTCAATTGATAACTCGATGTTATTTGACAGATTGATCTATGAATATCAAAGCAAGTAAAAGCAAAAATAAAAGAGACACAAGAAATTTGTCTTCACAATTCCCCATTGTGGTCCTCGCGTGTGGGTACGTCTGCGCCTAATTCCAATGGAATTAGGATAATTCTTACTATACAAAATTGTTGATACAAGAGAAGTGTTTAAGAGCAACTCTACAAACCCTAACCTTGTTGTTGATTGAACCCCTTCTTCTCTCTTGATCTTGAAAAAGACCAAGACACAATCGATGCAAAATGACTATCTGGATCTTGCTACTCCTTTGCGTTCTTTATCTCTAAGCTTTTACACACTATCAATTTCAACTATTGCAACACAAGACTTCAATTGTAATTCGCTGCTCTCTCATTATTTACTTTACATTCTTTATCTCCAAAGAATCCCTTGCATTCTTTATCTCCAAAGGAATTCACTTGGCCGCAATTACCTCTTGAACGTCTTGCACGAAAATCTCTAAATCAACCAATGATCTTGAAGGACAAACCTATAGTTTTTCTAGATGAAGACCTCTACAAAGCTCAATCCAATACATAATTAGACAATATCAATCATCGTCTAGATGGCATCCCAAAGAAACATCGTTACAATGTAATGTCAGTGTGTATGCATAGGTTGGAGGTTGAAGATGAAGAGAGAAATGGACTAATTTTATAGTTTCACCAAGTTGTGAATGATGCATGAAAGAGTATTTATAGTTTTGGAACTTTTAGGGAAAAAAGGAAAAATTAAAAATTAAAAAGATTTAAAAAAATTGACCAAACAAACACGATGTATCGACCTATATACCGTTTGTGTCGACACATACGTGGTTTTTAAACTGCACGTGTCGACCTGTATAAGGCTATGTGTCGACCGAACCAAGTCAGAGGCTACAGTCTTTAAAATGATAGTAAATGTGTCGATCTGAAAAACCGGTGTGCCGACACATAAAATAAGAATTTATGCAATTTAAAAAATGCTTCAGTATGTGTTAACCTATATAATGCATGTGTCGACCTGAGTCTTCCAGAGGCTACATACTTCAAAAATGAGTTGCATGTGTTAATCTGAAGAGTGGATGTGTCAACACATGCAATAAAAAATTATGCAGAAAATTATTTTTAATGACTTGGATCAATTACAAAATGTTTTTTAATGATTCCTAAGATTTCTAATGCACATGAGTGCCACAAGACATAAGGATACCGTCCAATATACAGAAGTGCTAACTTTTCCCAGTTTTGACATCATTCAAAACCTTTGATGACGAAGTTGTACTCACATCTTATCTCTATATGCACTGTACATAGGTATTTAGTTATAGCCTAAGTAATAATCCATGAATAATAATAACTTGTAATAGGCCGAACATTCCACCAGCATGTTCGAGAGCGAGTATGGACCTATGGGGCAATTCAAATTGAGATTGGTGTAATCGACACACATTATCCACCCCCTTGAAGCTTTCTTGACCAACGAGACATTAGATTGATACTCAGTATATATTACTTTGGATATAAAATTGGCCTCTATTAAGATATGAACCGTCTTTCTAATTGCTTCGGTTTCTCAAGAAATTGTTGCATTCTTTGTTTCGCCACATAACATATAGAGTATTCAATATTCAACCAGTGGTAACTCATGTGAGGATCTATGTCATACATTTCATTAGGAGAAACTGCAATGAGGTCGATGTTAGCTTTGAGGAATTCGATCATCTCATTGTTTACCATGACTGATAGCTCAGTCCCTATATGGACCGACCTTAATGGATTATCGTCGAGCTCGATGATCACAAAGTTGTCTTTTGAAATCTTTCTTAAGTCCTCCATTTAACTTCCATCGATAGGCTAAGCATATCCTCTTGCAGTGTTTCATTGTCAAGTCGAGGTTGACTGTATTAATGGTTTGAAAGTTCTTCTCTATCCTCATTACCACGTTGTGTACGAAATGGATCCCGTATAGATAAATCGAAATATCAATCAACTTACTTGTATTATTATAATATTTCATCTTCAAATGGATTAGGAAGGCCACCATGTCCAATGTTGCAAGAAATAATCTCCCAAAGATGTTGTTGCAGACATTTTTACATGGGATCACGAAGAAACACACATTCAAAGTCCTTTCGCCTTTCCTTTTATCAAAAGAGAATAGGAACTTGATCATTTCACATAGATCGTTCCACACGGGAGAATAGAGGACACATTTAACACTAATAAACTCCCGCCTCGATAATAACCCTAACATCCTAAAGATCCTAATGTACATCATATGAGCTCTTGTCATCAAAGAAAATTCCTAATACCAAATGATTTACTATGGTAGCGGAAATCCTAATATACATCATAGGAACTCCTGTCATCAAAGAAAAATCCTAATACCGAATAATTTACTGTAATATCGGTTAGCCGTAAAAAACCTTTTGTGTTTTTTAACAATTTAATTTATTGCCATCTTTTTCTTCGAGTAATCTCTGAATAGTAATTCATGATTTTTGAAACAAAAAGATCTGAGTAATCTCTAAGTAGTAATTCATGATTTTTGAAACAAAAAGATCTTATCGTAATTTCGTAGAACTCAAATATTATTTCACACATACACATCGCTATTGATGGAACTAAAAACATATAATTAAATGTTCATGCAATAGCAAACTTTCAATGTAGTTCAAGTCAATTATTAAATAAAAAATAACGTGAATGTAAATTATAATTAAAACATATATTAGGTCAGAAAACCAATTATTAAATGAAAAATAATATGACAGTAAATTATAATTAAAATATATCTTAGGTCAGAAAAAAAATCAATCAGCGGTACACTATGTCTCATGATTTTGGATGAGATCTTTTTGAGAATGGCTTCAATGACTTTAGTGTTGCCATAATTTTGTGACTTTAATTGAAAAGATAAATAAAAGAATAATTAATATATATTGTATTGATGTGAGAATAAATTGATAACTAAAGTGATGAAAATTACACTTTCTCAAAATTGCACATGATTTGATAATAAGCGGGTTGAAATTAGAGCAGAATTGAATCCATCGGTCAGACAGAAGGTACAATGCATTCAAAGCAGTTTAGTCCATCAAACTCCGGTGCATATCTTGTTCTCAAACGGGTCGGGTTTTTATTCTCTCCGCCGGGCATTAATGTTTTCGGATCTTTGACGGTGGTTTTGGATGAAGAAGTTGCTTCTTCATTGGACTTTGGATTTGAATCCTTTACCGGGCCCGAACCAAAGGAGAAGCTCCATTTCTTGCCTTGCGAGATATCGAAGTGGCTGAACATAGACATAAACATGTTTGTTGTGGATTGAGATTCGAGGTCGTGAGAATTTGAAGAGATTGTTGAAATTTGTTGGAATAGTTATTGTGGTGTGTTGGATAGACATTGATGATGGTAGGATTTATATTGAATTGGAAGATGAGGAAAGTGGAAGAGTCGTGGAAGACTATTCCTAGTATTTTCTCGAATTTTCTATGCGGTGTTCTTGTTTGGACTCTTTCATTGACGCGTGCTTCAACGACCTCTAACGCGCTCAACCTTTTTGGTTTTTTCATGCAACAACTTTCTGTATTGACCGTATTATTATGACTTTATAGTATATCTCATTTATTCTACAATAACAATAACACGAGCAACTCTAGCTTGGGCACATGGTTATAGGCATAAGTTTAGGCACATTCACAAAAAGTTGAAATGTAAAAGTAATTTTTTGATTGTTTTTAAAATAATTTAAATTAAAAAAAGAAAGATTAATTGATATTTGTGAGTGTGCCCAAGCATGTTTTATTTGGTGATGTGACCATAGAAGAATAACTCCAATCACACACACTTATAGATAAAAATGAAAATAAGTGAAGAAATATCATATGTATTTTTTAACATGTTTAATAATTGATATGATAAATATAATGGAACCGAGGAAATACTAATCATACATGTTTTTTATTTTAATAAAAATATATAAGATTAATAGTAAATTTAATTCCCCTATTTTTTATATTTTTTAAATTTTAATTCTTTCATTTTAAAATTTAATTTGTTGATCTTCATTTTATTTCATTTTTATTAGCCTCTTACTAATTTGAGTTGAAATTTTAATAGTACAATAATTCATTTAATACTGTGTCACTACTGCAATATTGACAAAATACATAACAGACAAAAGACTATCGTAAAAGCAGGGATCACCTTCACCATTATTAAAATCAAAATACAAAATTAACAAAAGTATGAACCACTTGTCGGATAATTATGGAGCATCCACATTGAATTAAGAGTAATATATATGTGGAAAAAATATCACATATTCATCCAAAATCTTAAGGTGATAGGTGTATGATTCTCCGCACTTATAAAATATTTAACCTTCACTTTTCAAAGCAATGTGAGACTTCTAACTCACACATGTACACAACAATCTCTCTCTCAAGTGTGAGTCCATCTACTATACTCCCTCTCAAGTGGAAACTCTTTCATCCACATACACGTGTACCGCTATTGCAGACACTACAATGGGACACGCCGCTTGACCACCATATTATCATGAAAACTTTCGATACAAGAAGTCAGTCCCTTAATTGAATCATCGGCTCTGATACCACTGTTGAATAATTATAGGGAGCATCCACATTGGGTCAAGATCAACACACAAGTGAGAGAGACACCACATATTCACTCAAAATCTTAATTCATAGTGGCATCAGAGCTCTTGGTTAAGGACTATTTTACTTATTTGAATAATGGAGTCAAATACAAAGATGAATATGATATTGTTGAATGTTTTAATTACCATATATAGAAGGGTGAGATGAAAGACTTACTATTTGTGAAGATATTGTATTTATCGGTTTTTAGTTCTGCAAAGTCAGATTCTGTGTTTGATGAAGAATGAGAGTTTGAACATCAACATGTATGTGGCTTTATTGGACAATATGTATAAGATGATATTTATAATCATATTTCTAATGAGAGACATGCAAAAACTTTGTGGGAGAAGATAGAGTCCTTGTATGCCTCTAAGTCAAGGAATAATAAATTATTCTTGTTGAATAGCTTCATAAGTTTGAAGTATAAGAAGGAGACTTCTATTTCAGATCACTTGAGTGAATTTCAAGGGCTTCTTGATCAGATCTCAGAAATGGGTATTAAATTTGATGATGAACTTTTTGGACTATTTCTATTGCTATCTTTATCAGAGTTTTGGGAGACTTTTCATGTTTCTATCACAACTTCTGCTCCCATGAGTGTTGTTTCTTTGGAAATGGTTAATGGTGATATTCTTAATGAGGAGATTAAAAGGAAGGCACAAGGTTCTCCATCTAAATCCTATGTACTTGTCACTGAAAATATGGGGAAAAGTCAGAAAAAGGAACCGAAAGATGGTAGAGAGAATAGTATAAGTAAGTCTAAGTCGCGATACAAGAATCTAGATTTTCATTATTGTCACAAAACAGGACACACACATAAGTATTGTTATCATTGGAAAAGGGATAACAAAGGAAATAAAGATAAGTCTAAACAAAGAGATCATGATGATTATGATGATGATCGTGTTACTACTGCTACTTGTAATGGTCTTGTTATTCTACGTGATCATGTGTCTGTTAATCTCGTATCATACGAGAGTATGTGGATAATTGACAGTGATGTTACATTGCATGCTACATCAAGGAATGATTTCTTCACATCTTATACTTCTGGTGACTTTGGAGTGTTAAAGATAGGTAATGACGGTGTATCTAAGGTAATTGATGTTAGTGATGTTTACTTGTAAACTAACATAGGAATGAAATTGTTGCTTAAAGGTGTCAAACTCGCTCCATATGTCCGTTTTAATTTGATCTTTGTGCATATGCTTGATGATCGTGGTGATGACAATCACTTTGGTTCTGGAAAGTGGAAACTCAACAAAGGTAACTTGATTATGGCTAGAGGGGATAAGCTTTTTAAATTGTATTTGACAAAAAATTTGGTTGCTAGGGTCAGTGTGAATGATATCAATATGGAAGTATATTTGTGACACCGAAGACTTAGTCATATTAGTGAAAAGGGGCTGAATGTTTTGGCCAAAAAGAATATTCTTCCTAGGTTAAAGAATGCATATTTGGATAAGTATTCTTATTGCATGGCTGGTAAACAGTCTAGAGTATCTTTCAAGAGATATCCTCTCTCAAGGATTCAAAGTTACTTCAATTAGTATATTCTGATGTTTGTGGTCCATTAAAGGTAAAATCTTTTAATGGTGAACTTTATTTTGTTACCTTTATTGATGATTGTTCCATGAAACTATGGGTTTAAGCCTTGAAGACAAAAGACCAAGTGTTGGAGAAGTTCAACGAATTCTATGCTTTAGTAGAGAGGCGAACACATGAGCAGCTGAAATGTCTTCATTCTGATAATGGTGGTGAGTATTATGGACCATTTGATGCCTATTGTAATCAGCATGGTATTGCACATGAAAAGACTCCTTCTAAAACTCCTCAATTGAATGGTTTAGAAGAGAGGATGAATCAAACACTAATTGAGAGAGAGTAAGGTGTATGCTTTCTGAAGATAAGTTGCCAAATAATTATTAGGGTGAGGCATTTTACACGGAGGTGCATGTTATTAATCTCACTCATAATGTTTCTTTGAATAGTGAAGTTCCAGACAAGATCTGGTTTGGAAAGAATGTCAAGTATGATCATTTGAGAGTCTTTGGCTGTAAGGCTTTTGTGCATATTCTAAAGGATGAAAGATCCAAGTTGGATGCAAATTCAAAACAATGTATATTCATCGGCTATGGGCAAGATGAGTTTGGTTATAGGTTGCACGATTTTATAGGGAATAAGCTTATCCGAAGCCGCAATGTTATATTCATGGAATACCAAAATATTAAATAAATTGATAAGATAGATAAGACTATACCCAAGAAAGATATCAGTTTGTCTGATGTTGATCCAGTTTGGTTACCTCATCATTATCTAGATTCTATTGGTGGTGATGATCATAATGGTGATCCATATGATTATATTGATGATCAACAACTTGGATAAGAGGTAAATATTCCAACTAATGATGATGATGAAGGGGAAATGATATGACCCAAGATGAGAATCTTGGTGAAGCTCTAGAGTTATCTCAAGTTTAATTTAGGAGGTCTATCAGGTAGAGACAACCTTCTACAAGGTATAATTCTGATGAATATGCGACCTTGACTGATGAGGGTGAACCTGAGTGTCTTCAAGAGGCCATGGAAAGTTATGAAAATAAAAATGAAATGCATGATAAAATGAA